TGGTATAGGGTCACCTGCTTGAACAGGGGGTTGGAGTAGCATACCTCCAAGGTGCCTTCCAACTGTTATTCTGCTGTTTCCTGGACCTTGTTCAGCAGCTACTTTTTCAAAGGTGGAAAAAATTCCTTCAACCCTTCTTATTCTTTCAGGAGGCAGGGATCCAAAACTGCCAAGGAGACTAATAAAAAAGCAATGTCCTTAACCACTTTTCATAACCTGGCATCTACTATAAAAATTCCCAATAATTCTCATAATTCCAGACAAAATGCTGAGAACACCTGGAGGGGGCATTCAACTGGGAGAAATTGCTTTAAAAGATAGGATATAATTTTAGAAGATACAAGACTTAAAAGGGTATATATATATATAGATGGGACACTGAAGGTAGGTTGTTGACTTTTATGCCTCACCTGCAGACTTCCCGAAGACATTTTATCTATCACTCTAGAAAACTGGATTAAGAAAACTGTGGTGTAATCCAATCGGGCTCTCCCTCGGTCCCCAGGACAGGAGCAAGGCAAGTATTGTACCCCAATAAAATGCACACAGTGGCCGGCCGTCCCGCTCCGTCCAATTTTTGCATTCCTGTCCTGCCTCGGACGATCTCCGCTTAAGGCCCGGTGACGGGCTCCTTCACGCTCTAGGCCCTGGACCCGCTTGCGCCGCACCACCTACCATCCCCCCCCCCTCACCTCCTCACTCTAGCCATAAGCACGCTTGCTACTCCTGCGCCCGATGCACCCATAAATGCATCCACGAGGGGAAGCGTCCGGATTTCCCCGAGACCCACGCTCGCACGAGCTCGGTCACCCGAATGTCCGGGATTGGAGAAGCAGCGTCGGCGTCATCGAGAAGCGCGCGCGGCGGGGCCAGCGGGCAGGAGCTGCGCAGCCCTTCCCGTGGCAGGCTCTGGCAAAGGCCGTCTGCCGCCTCCTGATTGGTTAGGGGGAAGGCGGGCGCAAGTGGGCCGAGAGCGCCAGTGAGGCTAGCTGATAGCTTTGCTCAAGCGCAGGCGCGCGCGACTTTTTTATCCCCGCCCCCCGCCAACTTTGGGGGGGCGGGGAGAACTAAGTCTTACGGGGAGACCTTTGATTTCCTAGGACAGTTGATGAATTAGCCGCTGATCTTTTCTTTTTTATTACCACACATGCAACAGACATGCATATGTATATTACATACATTACAAAATGATGTAATTAAATAAATAATTCTTGCATTTATATTTGTGTTTTAATAGTTGTGATATTTTTTTTGACTAATGGTTGTATGCCAGCCAGAGTCACGTTCAGTGAGATGGGCAGCTATATAACTGTATTAAATAAATCTAAGGCTTTAGAGAGTGATTAATCCAAAATCATCCAATTGGCTTCATGCCTAAAGCACGCTAAAACTCCTGGTTTCAAGCTAATGTCTTAGTCAATAGATCAAATTGGCTTTTCTGTAGGTACAGTATTGTTCTTATTTCTTGATCACAACTTGCATTTTTTATTGTAGCAAACACTGGTTTCCAAGTGGAGAGATTTATTTAATACAGTTATATAGCTGCCCATCTCACTGATTTGGAAACAAACACTGGGTGCTTCTATCTTAAAACAGGTTTATTTGGAGGATGAAATAAAGGTAAATGTTCCCCTCGCACATATGTGCTAGTCATTCCTGACTCTAGGGGGCAGTGCTCATCTCTGTTTCAAAGCCAAAGAGCCAGCGCTGTCCGAAGATGTCTCCGTGGTCATATGGCCGGCATGACTAAATGCCAAAGGTGCACAGAAGTGGTCCCTATTTTTCTACTTGCATTTTTACTTGCTTTTGAACTGCTAGGTTGGCAGAAGTTGGTGCTAGGGATTGGAACCACTGAACTGCCAACCTTTCTGATCAACAAGTTCAGTGTCTTAGCCACTGAGCTACTGTGTCCCAGAGGAAGAAATACTTGAGGTCAAAACACATGGGTTTTTAATAGGAAGTTATTTTCAGACAAAATACCTGTTTATGTGGCAGGGAGTTTCTGCAATAAACTGGTTTATTGACCTGTAGACTGTTGATTCCCTAAGAAACCAGAGGTTCTATGACTCCTTTGTCATCAATTCAGTACCGACTTAGAGAATTCCTGGATTCAGACCCAACCCATATATCAGTGCTGACCCTCTGTATTCCTCTATATGTTTCCCTTTGGCAGATGAGCAGAGTTGGCTCAGTTGTGATAAAGAACAATTTTGAAGCAGAATACCGAGAGAGGGAGAAGGAATGTCCAGAACACTTCAAACCCAACAATAAATTAAGGCAAACGCTTGTCCTCTCCAAGGATAAAACAACTAGACTCAAACTGAGCAAAAGACAAAGGCCACTCTTTTGAAGACAGCAAAGCTCATTCAGATAGACAGACTGCTGTTTGAAAGAGGGGTCAAAGAGGCCATCTATATCAAAATTGAACAACCCTCTCTCAAAAGCTTTGTGCTCAAGGTAAGTCTAGAATTCACAGTCTGAAACTCCCCAAAAGAAACCAGCATGGCTGCATAAAGAACTCACTGACAAACTGAAAGACAAAAAAGATAAGTATAAAAAATGGAAAGGGGGGGGGGGCATAACTAAGGCAGAATATCAGCAAATACCCGAGCCTGTAAAGATGAAGTGAGGAAAGCTAAGGCTCACAATGAAGAAAGGCTTGCCACAAAAGTAAAAAATAACAAAAAAAGCTTCTTCCAANTCTGACAGCTCCCTATAAAAGGGCTGCTGTCAGACTCAACCTTCGCTGGATTGTTCATAATGTTCTGTTACAATAAAGAGCTGTTGTTACCGTTAGCCTGTATGTGCCTGTCCATTACCCGATCCAATACTGGCGACGAAGGTGAGATTGAAAGGCAACTAGGCGAACCAAAAAGAGCGTAGCAATCTGGCAAGTATATCCAGCCCGGAGCTCAGCACAACTTCGAGCAGCCATTTTTGAGCGGCAAACTCAAAATGCCCTCAGAACACAAAATAGCCATGCATGCTCTACCGACTCCGTATGACCCAGTCACTGAGCACTGGGACTCATATATGCTGAGGTTCAACTGCTTCTTAGAAGCCAACGACCTCATGGGCCTTTCTGAAGGCCACAAAAAGAACATGTTCCTCGGTTACTGTGGACGGGAAGTGTTCGAAACTGCCAAAGACCTATCAAAGCCAACACTGCTACAATTGGTCACTTGGTCCGTGTCCAGCAGATGCTGAGGACTCACTACGCTCCCAAGCCATCTAAGCTCGTCCACTAGCATGAATTTAATATTTGCAACCAGAAGGAAGACAATCAACGAGTACGTTGCGGCTCTATGAAAGGCCGCAGCATATTGCGAGTTCTGAGACCTAGATGAACTTATTCTTGACCGTATCATATGTGGTGTGCAGGACATTAATTTACAGAGGAGGTTACTTGCCAAATCTAACCTCACTCTACAAATTGCCTTGGACGAAGCCAGGGCATCAGAATCGGCCATCAAGTCAACAGAAACCCTGCAGCGCCAAAGCACCCCACAAGACGCGCGAAAGAACACACACATACATCGTGAGGCTGCAGAGGCTGGGAGCTCAGGTGAAGAAGATGACAGCTGATGCATGTGCAGTAGCCGCACCAAGCTGGCGCGCAAATTCAAACAGCATTTCCCACCTTGCGCAAGCTGTGGAGGAGACCATGCTCGATCAGCTTGCCATTTCTGCGACATTATCTGCCAGTGCTGTGAGTGAAAGGGGCACATCGCCAAGGTTTGCAGGTGCGCAAATTCAAACNCTTGGTAAGGCCACACTTGGAATACTGCATTCAGTTTTGGTCACCACGCTGTAGAAAAGATGTGGAGACTCTAGAAAGAGTGCAGAGAAGAGCAATAAAGATGATTAGGGGACTGGAGACTAAAAAATATGAAGAACGGTTGCAGGAACCGGGTATGTCTAGTTTAATGAAAAGAAGGACTAGGGGAGACATAATAGCAGTGTTCCAATATCTCAGGGGTTGCCACAGAGAAGGGGGAGTCAAACTATTCTCCAAGGCACCTGAAAATAGAACAAGAAGCAATGGGTGGAAACTAATCAAGAAGCAACTTAGAACTGAGGAGAAATTTCCTGACAGTTAGAACAATTAATCAATGGAACAGCTTGCCTCCAGAAGTTGTTAATGCCCAACACTGGAAGTCTTTAAGAAGATGTTGGATAGCCATTTGTCTGAAACGGTATAGGGTTTCCTGCCTAGGCAGGGAGTTGGACTAGAAGACCTCCAATTCCCTTCCAACTCTGCTATTGTATTGTATTGTAAATAACAGCATCTCCCTTTCTAGGAGAGTACAGTGTTGTAATTGACTTTGAGAACCAGTTTAGTGTAGTGATTGAAGCACTAAGCTAAAAACTGGTAGACCTTCACAAAACAACTAGATGACCTTGCTAGGAGTAAAAAAAACTGACTTCAAGGCATAATTTTTTGTGCTTAGTCTCTGTCAAACTTTGCATGTGGAATTATTTTTAAACTCGGCCCTCCTGTAGCCAAGAGTTGGTCAAGCCAGTCAGAAGTATAAAAAGGAAATCAATTTGTGCAGGAGGATTAATGGGCGTGATATAGTCCTAGTGAAAAAGTATCAGTGCTTCTTTATCAACAGTGGTGAAATTGACAAGAGTTAAATATCTGTTTCAGATTGGCAGCAAGGCAAAGAGATCGAATTATTCTATCCTCTCTCAACTTACAACATGGACGATGCAGGGGATACTAGGGGCCAGGTTTGATATGTGATCACCCTAACTATGTTCAGGCTGGGCAACTCGTGGCGATTATTTGGTTCCTGGCTAAAATTAGTTTCCAAGGGGCCACTGCACTGCACTGGTGGTCCAAGTGACTGGCATTAACAACACTTTCCTATTGACTTATGACTGAGTACCAGGCAGGTGTATTGGTTAAGCCGTCCAAACCTGTTTTTAAGTTGTGCTTTTGTGTGTGGATTGTTGTTCATCTTAGACAGTTTTTGCAGAAACATTCCAGCTAATATATGTGCTTCCTATTTCTGTTTCATTATTCAGAATATTTGGTGACAGTTGTCAACCCTCAGAGTTTGCGCCTGAATTTCTTCTTACTCAAGCATAGTTGAATTTAATGTACCTATCCTTTCCTTCCTGAACTACATTTGCAGTGGAAAAAAATAATTTGTCCTGAAATTAAGCTAGTTGTTTGGCTTGCTTAACAGGCTATAGCTGATGGTTTTGGAAGAGGTGTGGATGCCAAATGAAAGCAGCTATGCCTACAGCCAGCTCCAATTTCAACCACATTATTTAGAACAAAAACCAGAGGTTCATATTCAAAAGATATGAGGTATAAATGATTGCCTTTGCCACCATTTGCATTGCATAGGGGATGGTTTTACCCAAGTATGGAAACTGAGGTATTACTGCACAATCTAATGTGTTTAGTGGACTACACCCCTGTATCAGAGGTGGGTTGCTTCTGGTTCGGCCCAGTTCAGCCAAACTGGTAGTGGAATTCAGGCCTGGGTCGGAGAACCAGCAGCTACACAGGCCTCTCATGCTCCCGAATCAGTTTCCTCACCGCTCGTCCACCGCCATTTTGTTTCTAGTGACTGCACATGCGCAGTTCACTGTAAATTGCTCTGTGCATGTGCGTAGAACAATTTACATTGAACAGTGCACGTGCACCCAGCGGGCAGCAATCAACCCCTGTATCCTGGTGTTTTTTAAAAATAAGGGGATAGAAAAGAAGTGACATTGATATAAGAAGTGATTTTTTTCTGGAAGAATACCTGTCATATAAGAAGAAGGTCACCGTTTCCACATTGGGATTTCTTCACTGTCTGTAGTTTTTCTACCAGCAATTTGAAGAGCTGGTCTTCTAGAGGAAAGCACTCAATTTCATAATAGTGTGGCAGATTCAGAAGGCACAAAAGAGGTGGAGGTAGATTGACCAACCTTCTTTTTACTCAGAACTGGACTTTTCATCAATGCTGAACCTGTTATGAGAGGGAATGTTCAACAAAAATCATATGGGGTATTCCAGAAATGGAAATTAAATAACTTTACCAGATAAATTTGAGGCTATGAGTTTTCATATAATCAGACAGACCAGATATTAAATAAATACCTTATTTAAATAATTTGATTGGGTATTTTAATTAAAACCTTACAAATAACTACAAGAAGGGATTTGAGGATTGACTAGTCTGTTATATTATGTGTCTAATGCATGATAGTCTTCCTAATATCACATCAATTCTGAGTCTGTAATGAAAATGGTGACCTCCTAGCTGAGGTTTGTTTGCTTATGGCCAAACTAATAGAACTGGAGTTGCTAGGACAGAGTGAGCTTGTTGACAGAGATAATAGCATCTGACCTCAAGTTTTGACTCAACATTCATGGAGAAAGGAACAACATAGGAGGACATTGCTCTGAGATAGAGAGAAAGAATCTCTCAAATAGGATCTGATCCTTGAAGCTGAACAGATATACTAAAATATGCATCTGGGTGAAGAGTATTGTGGATTTGATTATTAGAGGCATATCTGGACAGGTATGGTATATGTTGCAATTGATTACATGGTGCAATTGATGGTTGCCATCCAACATGACTCAGCTTGAGAGGATTTCAAGAAAGAAAGAATGGCAGAAATTTCCCCAATCCAGGTGTGCAAAGCTTGTCACTTCATACCCAAAAAGACTCAAGGATGTAATTGCTGACAAAGATGCTTCAACAAAGTACTGAGTGAAGGGTCTGAATACTAACGCCAATGTTATATTTCTTTTTTTTTCTTTTTAATAAATTTACACACATTTCTAAAACTCTGTCTTCACTTTGTCATGGGGTGTAGATTAATGAGGGGAAAAATAATTTTAACATGTAGAATCAGGTCAAATTGACAAAAGTGAAGGGATAGGAATACTTTCTAAATGCACTAAATGCTAAAAAGAGTTATTCAATTACGTTTGCCTACAAGAGAATAACATTTTTTAAAGAAAGAAAGAAAGAAAGAAAGAAAGAAAGAAAGAAAGAAAGAAAGAAAGAAAGAAAGAAAATAAAGAAAATTGTGAAATAGAAATTAAAATGTATGAGAAAACTAAATTATGCATAATGCTTGGAGATTGTTTGGAACTACAGTAATATATATTTTAGCCACAATGTATAAATTAGGAGAGCTACTACAAATCCAAAAAATACTTTTGGTCCAAGTTGGTCTGGAAAAAAACAGAATCCATGCTTTCAATCATAAAATAATTAAAATTGTATGTAATGCATATCTTCAGGTGTAATAACATATACAGTTATTATAACATATATAATAAATAATGCTGTAACCCTGAATTATATAAGTAGGTGATGAGACCTCAATTAGAATATTGTGTAAAGTGCTGGTTACCACACCACATACATTATAAAGTTTCTACTTCTTTTGTATGTCATAGAACTAGAAAAGTTTGAAAAATGGCCATATAACTACAGTAATTGGGACTTGAGGGTCAAGAGAGAAAAAGTTATAAAATGCATAAAATAGTTAAACTGTGGAAATTGCTGCCACTTTGAATGGTTTAAAAAAGGACTGGACAAATTCAGGTATGGTATAATTAGGTTATCAATGGTTAGTCATATGGAGGATTGTGTATTTTTTCCGAGTTACTTAAATAGTGAGTGCTGGCATGTGAAGGTGAAAGGAGAGCTATTATCTTCTTTCCCAGGTTTATGAGCTCCCGAAAGACATCCAGCATTGTAAATACAGAATACTACACCAGATGGGCCTATGATTTAATCCAGCAAAATCTTTCTTATGTATTAAAATGCCCTGTACAAATATCTTATCATGAAAAGCCATAGCTTTGCCATCTTAATGACATACATAGATAAAAGTAAAGGTTCCCCTCGCACATATGTGTTAGTTGTTCCCAACTCTAGGAGGCAGTGCTCATGTCTGTTTCAAAGCCAAAGAACCATCTTTGTCCAAAGACGTCTCTGTGGTCATGTGGCCAACATCACTAAACACTGAAGGCACATGGAAAGCGGTTACCCTCCCACCAAAGTGGTCTCTATTTTTCTACCTGCATTTTTACTTGCTTTTGAACTGCTAGGTAGACAGAAGGTGGGACAAGTAATGGGAGCTCACTCCATTACATGGCGTTAGGGATTCAAACCACCAAACTGCCGACCTTTCTGATTGACAAGCTCAGTGTCTCAGCTACTGAGCCACCGCATTCCTGTAATGACATACACACACATTCCTTTTTCTTCGTCAGTTCTTCCTTTAATCCAATCCTATGTCTTTCAACCTTGGAAACTTTTAAGATGTGTGGACGTCACATCTCCCACAAAGCTGGGGATTGTGGAAGCTGAAATCCACACATCCTAAGGCTGCCAACCTTAAGAAACATTGGCTTAATTCACAGATTCTAATATTCCAATAAAGGGTAAAGGAAAACAATTGTGAAAGAAAGGCAAAGAAACAATGCACCCCAGTCATCCCATTCTTTTGAATGAGCTTTTTCTTAAGCAAGTGTAACTTTTTACTACTCTCAGATTCCTAAACTGGAGCTCTCGTCTTCCATATGAAATAGCAAATTCTTTGCTCAAAAGTCCCTTCTTCCATTAATTGCTCATGCCTCTCATGCCTCTTTGCTGTATACATTGTACAGATAGTCCTCAACTTATGACATATTGCTTAGTGACCTTTCAAAGTTATGACCTATCTGAAAAAGTGGATTTATAATCCGGATCTGAAATTCTGACAATTTTGCCCTTCACGGTCAAGTGGCTGCAGTTTGAGCGCTCAGCCACAGGGCTACATTTTATAACCATTTGCAGGATCCTGTGGTTTCATGACCATGTTTATGGATAGTTTTGCTGAAAACTAACACTTACTTCCAGTTTTCATCAAAATGATGCCACAATGAATAACGGTTTTGCTTAACAAACATTGTAAACATCAGACCAGTCATGTGACCAACCCACTTTACAACCATTACAACATAATTATAATGGGTTGGCCCATTATGGTTGTAATTTGAGTACTATCCCTACTATGCATTGGATGATTTATCCAGGCTTTGGGGGAGAATAATTATTACAATAGATGGGATGTTTAATTTGGCTTAACATGTGAATACAAATAAGCCCAACTACAATGGTTCACAAATATTGGCTTATGGCTTAACTTGATGTGTAAAGTCACGGGTTGTAGCTTATTAAACAAATCAAGGCTTACCAGCATGTTTCCACCCAGTCAAGAGTAGAAACAAATGTTGAAGTTATTGTAATAAGTTTCTCTGTTGCCTGCTTTCAGTCTCTTCACTCATCCAGTGCCCCTATTGTTGAGCACTAATAGAAAAGAATTGCTGAGAAAATCTTATTATGCACATGAAATGTTGAGGCAAGAACTTGGACAAGTATTATTTTGAGATTCTTAATTTTTGTTTTTCCTTAATGTTACCCTAGAGCTCCTCCAACACAGGAGGATTATAAACACATCAATTGTGAGGTTAGTTGTCTTGCTGGCTGCTATGGTGACAGGGGGCATACTAATACCTTAGACAGACAATCTGTCAGACTCACTGTGGAACCTTAAGGGAGTCACTTAACCCATTGTTTGTCCATCTGTACAATGGGGGAAGTGTTTTTTTTCTGGACATCAAGTTAGGGTTGTGTTTTATAATGAACAAGTCCTCCTGCTAAACTGAGAGCCATAGGGATGAATGATTTTTCCTACAGATAAAAACAACCAACTGTTACATATCTACAGAGTGGAATCCAAACTTGCCTGCAGATTCAAAGTGCTTTTTGAGAGTTTCCTGCAAACTAACAAGGGGAAGGTGATTTATAGGCCCGTATTCTGTCTTGGAAGAAAATTGTACTTCAAGAGAGTTTAAATGATATCTCCCCGGAAAATTTATCAGAATAACCTTTTGTAAGGTAAGCCAAGTTCCTTCAAACTGAACTCACCTCTGTTGACTTTATGCAGATGCCTATAGTGTTTTCATGATTTCTTTTTCAATGTTAGTATTTGTTCGTTTTCAAATAATGTTTTTCAATGTAGTCTATGGCTTTGGTAATGAATGGCAATCTTCCATCATCCTAAACAGACTTAATTCTGTTTAGCTTTGCCGTTTAAACAAGATAAGTTGGAATAATATTAGTATACGTCCATAACACAGGTCTGCAAAAAAAAATTTTTTGAGAGCTGTTTTGGTTATTCCACATAATCTTTATGTTTTTTGGTGCGCTGAATCCGAAAATGACCT